GGGGGGGGGGGGGGGGAGGAGGAGAGGGAGGTGTGCCTGGGTGCCTTGTGCCGAGGTCCGCCCCCGCCCCCTCGCCCCGAATGTGATGGGGGAGAGGAGGAGGAGGACAAAGGGAGGGGTGCGCGCACGCACGCACGCACGCACGCACGCACGCACGCACGCACAGACCCATCCACACGCTCAGAACTGAAGGTCGGAGGCCAGCAGATCCAGCTCGGCCAGACTGGCCTCCAGGTCGAAAACCGCCGGCGAGATGCTGCCAGTGCCGCTGCCGCCAGCGCCGCTGCCATACGTAGACCCGGTGCCGGTGAAGGGGTTGCTACTGTTGCCGGACCCGCCGGCGTGGTGGAAGGGCGAGGAGGAGGGGGGCGGGGCGAAGGCCGACGCGCCCGGCGGCGGGGGGGGGGCGAACCCGCCGCCGCCACTGCCGGCCGGCGGCTGTGTGAACGGGTTGCTCGCGGCCCCGCCGCCGGCGGCCGTGGTGGTGGCCACCACCATCGCCGGCGGGGCGGTGAACCCACGCGGCGGCTTGGCCGGCGCCGGGGGCATCGGCGACGAGGGCGACATGGAGTACCCCCCCGCCGCCGCCGGGGGGGGGCTGCTCGGGGCCGAGGACGAGGAAGAAGACGAGGAGGCATAGAAGTTCATGGTGCTGACGGAGGAGGAGGAGAAAAGGGGCTTCGGCGAGGCGGTCCCCCCGGTGGCCATGAGCCGGGCCGCTGGCGAGGCGGCCACCGGCGGCGGCGGCAGGCTCGAGCTGGGCAGGAAGTCCTCGTCGTCCTCCTCGGCATCATCATGGTGGTGGTGGTGGTGGTGGTGGTGGTGGTGGTGGTGGTAATGGCGGTGAGTGCCATCCCCATCGTCATAGTCATCCTCATCGTGGGCCCCCCCCCCGTCGTGATGGTCGGCGAAGGGGTCATCCTGGGCCCCGGCGCTCAAAAGACCAACCCCATCGTCGCCGGTGGCCGCCACCGCCATCGAGGAGGAGGAGGGCGGCTGCGAGGTGGGCATGGTGAAGTGCGACGAGGAGAAAAGCGACCCGGTGGAGGCCGAGGAGAAGAGCGGCCGCTGGGCCGCCCCGGCCCCCGCGCCGCTGGCCGAGGAGAAGGAGGCCGAGGAGCCCCCGGCGTCGGCGGTGTGGCGCGAGGCCAGCGACGTGCTGGAGGAGGAGGAAAGCGCCCGGTGGGGGTTTGCCCCGGCGGCCGTCGGCGAGGCCACCGAGCTGCCGGCCGAACGCGGAGCCCCGGCCGCCAGCGAGGACGACGAGGAGGAGACCATCAGGGCGGCGGCCGGCGACCGGCTGGTCACGGCCGGCGGCGGGCCGCCCACCAGCAGGTCATCCAAGTCGTCATCCAGGTAGCCCAGGTCCCCGAGGGAATCCAGCAGGCGGCTGCCACGGGCCCCGCCGCCATCGCCGGGCCCTGCGGCCGCCTGCGTCGACACCATCGGCCGGGGGCCGGCCGCGCTGGCCCCCTGGTGCGGGGGGTAATGGCCGCCGCCGGCGGCGGTGGCGAGGCCGCCATCCGGGGAGGAGGAGGAGGAGGAGGAGGAGGAGGAGGCGACGGCCGGCGGGTGGTAGAAGCCGCCGGCCGAGGGGGCGTAGGCCGGCGACAGGGGGGCCGGCGACCCGGCGTCCGACAGGTCCGACACCGGGGTCATGAGCTGGCCGTCGGAGGAGGAGGAGATGGCCGAGAGCGAAGCCGAGGAGGCAGACGCCCCGGGGCCGGGGCCGCCGGCGGGGGCGGCCGCCCGGCTGCCGGCGGCCGCCGCCGCCGCCGCCGCCGCGCGGACCTCCTCCATCGGCTGGAACCAGGGGAAGACGGTGCCATGCTCGACGATCATGGTTTGCAGGATGGGAGCCGGCACGTCGGCGCACTGGGAGAAAATGAGCACCAGGTTGGACACATGCATGAGGTTTTGCTCGGAATGCGAGGCCACCTGCGACAGGTGGAAGGTCAAGTTCGAGAGAAGCACCAAGTTCGGCTCCGGCAGGTTGTTCATGATGAAGTACAGCTGCGAGGCGCGAGACTCCGGGTCGCCGGCGATGACTGCGCGTGGGCGCGGGGAGGGGTGCGGGGGGCGCGGGG